AGGGAAAGAGTATAGATAGGGTGTACTTGGTCAACACTAAGTGTACCGGCGTCGCTTTGGTGTCGAGACACAGCTCTCCGTCTCATCCTCGTCCTCGTCCTCGTCATCCCCGTCCACCGACTTGTCTTCAGGAATCGAATCCTGCAGCGACGGCAACGATAGCCGTACGCCGTTGGTGTTGACGGCGCGATTGATGAGCGCAAGATCCTACGTGGACGTGCGTCAACCTCGATCTTATTCGCATCGTAGTCCCGTACCCGCGCGGGGCTCTCGCCAAACGCATAGAGCGCATGTGTCCGAGGTGTGAGCGCGGTGCGCGGCTGGCGGATCTGCCGCAACGGCGATATGTACACGTTGCTGCTGAGCACGCGCTTGGGCGACGACCGCTGCGACGGCCGGGGCAGCGACTGGATCTCGGCGAGCGACTGGATCTCCACTTTTGGAGCGGGCGCATTGCTGCCGTGCGTGTGCAGCAGTCGCTCGACGGCAGTCGTCGCCGCCTCGGCAATCACCTCATTGTCCGAGACGCCAACGTTCGGGAGGTGCTGAACAAACGGTGTGACCGCGTCGGCCGCGGCTTCTTGGCGGTCGTGCAGCTGAAACTGCAGCAGAAAAGCCTTGAGCGTTGGGATGAAGCACCGGTTGTAAAACTTGATCACGTCGCCTTTGACCGCCGGCTTGTCGAGCGGGATCTCACGGACGATCGAGGCCTTGGCCGACGACGGGTACGTGCGCTTGTACGCGTCGAGCACGCGCTTGAACGTAACCTCGGGCGCCACGTGGTTGACCTTGCACACGCCGTAAAAGCTGCATAAAATCACATGGTCCAAATGGCGATCGCGGAGAAGCTCGGCGTGGTTCGAGATGCACTCTTTGACGCTTGTCCAGATCTGGTTCAGATACATTGCGTCGAGCTTGAGGTGCTGGCCGAGCGCGTAGATGCGGTTGGCGGCGAGCGCGAGCACTTTGCGAAAAAACAACTGCAGCATGCAAAACCGAGCCGGCGTCGCCTCGTCCGTCGCCAGCAGCGTGTACAAGCCCGACTGGCTCTGCCACACGAGCGAGTCCAGCACCGTTTGCTCGAGGTCCCGCATGTGGCGCTTGAGCTCGCTGGGCAACGACGGCGCGCGCTTGACAAAGCTCTCGAGGATCTTGCCAAAGTCAAACGCCGAGACGTCGCACGTCGCGAGGATATGCGGAAACGCCAGCGTCACCAGACTGTGCGCCTTGAGCACGACCTCCATGCTGCATGCAAACAGCGCCTTGTGAAACGCTGTGTTGGTGAGGAGCGACGAAAAGTCGGTCGTGTGAAGCCGATCGGCCTCGGCGTCCAAAAGCGACTCGAGCACGCGGTAGTAGAGACCGACCCCCATCGTCTTGGTCTTGCCGAGACTGCCTTCGACCTGGGATGGCGGCGGCTGGTTGGCGCCGAGCGGCAACAGAAGCCGCGTCGACGGACGGTGCAGCGTGCCGACCTTGGTTGAGAGGTCGGCAATGAGCGAGAGCACTGAGTCTTTGGCTGTCGGCGCTTGCGTGCACCCGCCAAAGTACGCCAGCAGCTTCTCCGACGGCTGCGCGGGCAGCGACGCAAGCGTGTGGCGGATCCAGTTGTTGGTCTCGACAGCGGCCGTCACGGGCGTCTGGAGCACGCTCGGCGACCGCTTTGGGAGCAGTACGCTCGGCGACTTGGTCGCGGACCCGGGCGCCTTGGTCGGTGGCACTTGGCCTTGCCACTGCCACGCTTGCTCAAACGACGACGAGTTCTGTCCCAATGGCGCAAAGGGCGCGGGCGTCGGCTCAACTTGGGGCGGCGGCGGCCCGATGAGCGACGCCTTGAGCGCTGGATCGACAAAGATCGCCTCGTCGAGGTCGTAGACGCGCAAAACGTATGTTGTGTGGTAGTGGGCGTCGAGCTTGGCGACGTTCTCGGGAAGAAGCGCGTCGCTAAACATGGAGCTGCCCATCGCATACGTTTCGGTGGCCGCCGACGCAAGGACGCCGGCGTCTTCGAGGCTCTGCATCTCTTTCTCGAGCTTGGCCATGGCGCGCTCGACGTCCACGCGGTTGACGTGCGGCTTGGCGCAGAGCTTTTCGAGGATGTTGTGTGGCGACTGCCCGTGCGGACTGCCGAGCGAGCTCAAGGCGGCGGCGATCTCGGCCTCGACGCTGCGCACGTGGACCTTGGAGATGACGAGCTGCAAGACGGCGAGGAGCAGATAGTAGAGGTCGCCGAGGCCTGCGTTGGACATATGCAAACGGGATCGAACAATGAGGAAGAGCAGCCACCCGGCCTTGAAGAGGTGCGCTTTGCGCGGGCTGGGCTCGGCCGAGACAAAGGTGGACCAGAGCTGGTCGTACTTTGTAAACAAGATGGACGCGATCGTCAGTCGCTCCTTGAGCACGTTGGCGCGCGTGAGCAGATCCGGGCTCAGGTCCAGGATGAGCATGTTAAAGAGACCCGTAAAGCTCGAGAGGAACGCGCTAAGGCCGACGTGGCATGCGCTGAGGAGGTCGCGCAGCGTGATGCGTGTGGGCGCGAGGTCGGGGCCACCGTTCTCACGGTCACGCTCGCGCTCGAGCTCGATGCCACTCAAGATGGCGAAGAGCGAGGCCATGACCCACATGTTGTTGGCGGCTCGCGGCTTGGCGTCGTCGTCGTCCTGCGCTTGCTGCGTCTGGTGCATATGTTCTTGCTGGGCGACGGACGCCATGACGACGTCGAGCAGCTTCTGCGCGCGGGCGAGATGGGCGGCGTCCATGCGCGGGAGCACGGGCCCGAGGCCGTCGAGGTCCTGGAGGCGCATGGTGGCTGACCGCAGAATATGCAGTTGAACGAAGAACCGTCGGCGGTGATTGGCTGAAATAAAAGAAAAGACGAGGGAAATCCACCGACTAATCGCACGCAACTGCACTCCCGCCTTTGCACCAAGCAGCCGAGCAAGACGCAGACAAGGTACGCACTTGGCTCGCGCCCTACGCGCAGCGTTCATGTGACATAGCACCACCACGTCTAGCCCAAAGGCTAGGTCTACGCCACGGAACTTCTCGTCCACAGTGGCACAGTGCACGTGCTCTACTATCGCACTCTCAAGCGCCTGGTCTACGCACACTGGCGTAGCATCTGCGCATGACCGCCAATGCGAAGCGACATGCCTGCATGGCATCGAACGACCTCTAGCACCCGGACCGACTGCGTGAGCGCTCAATCTGAAGCGTTTTCAGATCTGAACGGTTCAGATCTGAAAACACTAGGCGAAGCCAGTCCATTTCTCGCCAGGCTCGGGTCCCAGCACCAACAACGTACGCATCGACCGTTCAACACTGCGCAAGAGTGGCCTCCTTCTTCGTTGCATGCAGCATACGGCGCTCATGCTCTCAGCCATGCCTGGCTCGAGCGCGCCAAGTTGCGTGCGATTAACCTGTGCGAGCCCATTATCCGGCATCATCCGGAAAAGATCCGACGGGCGCGATTGGCGGAATTGGAATTGAAATTTCAAACGCGCCGCCTCTTGGGATTTGTATACCATACAAACGGCGAGCTTAAAACCCAAGCCGTCGTGGCATAATCCAAGCTGGCATGGCGGAGAACGTCCAGGTCTTTTGCCGCGTCCGGCCGCCCAACTCGCGCGAGATGATGGGCGGCGCGGCCCGGCGCTGCGTGAGCGCCGACGCCGTCGAGGGCCAGAGCCTCGTGCTGGCCTCGTCGATGGCGAAGAAGGAGGCGCCCCGCAACTTCTACTTTGACCGCGTCTTTGGCGAGCGTAGCACGCAGGAGCAAGTGTTTGACGTCATTGGCCGCCCGATCACGACCGCGTGCCTTGAAGGCTACAATGGCACGATCTTCGCCTATGGCCAAACGGGCAGCGGCAAGACGTTCACGATGCTGGGCGAAGAAGACCAGCGTGGTCGGCCCAACGTCAACAAGGGCCTCGTGCCACGCGTGCTCGAGTACCTCTTTGAGAAGCGCGACGTGCGCGATGCGAGCTCCGAGTTTGAGGCCACGTCGACGATCGAGTACAAGTACATTTGCTCGTTCCTCGAGATCTACAACGAGCGCGTCTTTGACTTGCTCGACGGCTCGACGTCCGAGGCCGGCTTGAATTTGCGCGAGAACCACGTCAAGGGCGTCTTTGTCGAAGGCCTCAAAGAAGCGACCGTCGAGAACGCGCAGCAGGCGACTGAGCTCATGACGATCGGCACGCAGAACCGCCACGTCGGCCACACAAGCATGAACCGCGAGAGCTCGCGCAGCCATAGTGTCTTCATCTTGCAGATCCACTCGAAAGAAACGACGGCAAGCGGCCTCATCAAGAAGCGCCAAGCCCGCTTCAACCTTGTGGATTTGGCCGGGTCGGAGCGCCAAAAGAGCACGGAAGCCGCCGGCGATCGACTCAAGGAGGCCGGCAACATCAACAAGTCGCTCTCGGCGCTCGGCAATGTCATCATGGCGCTCTCCGAGCAAGCTGTCGGCAAGACCCGCCACGGTACATTTACATATTTGTCTCGAATTTTGCCCGAAATTTTGCCCATTTTTGAAAATTTACGTATTTAGTGCACTACCGGGACTCGAAGCTGACGTACCTTCTCAAGGACTCGCTCGGCGGCAACTCCAAGACGTTCATGATCGCGGCCATCAGCCCGGCCGAAGACTGCATGAGCGAGACGCACTCGACGCTCAAGTTTGCGCAGCGCGCCAAGATGATCAAGAACAACGCGTTCATCAACGAAGACACGAGCGGCAACATCTTCCTGCTGCAAGAAGAGATCAAGCGTCTCCGGCTCCAGCTCCAGCAAGCCGGTGACCCTGGCTCCAACAATGTGCACCATGAGCGCGGGTCATTGGCCATGGCGTCGTCGCTCCCACCGCTCTACAATCCATTCTCCGAGCTCAACGACAACCCTTTGCCGTCGGACTGCGACCCGGCGGTGGACACGCGCTTCCGCGAACTCGAGAATACACTGTCCAACATTGTCGACGAGCACTCGAGTCAGAAGCGGTCGCTCGAAGTACTTCAACTGCGCGAGTCGCACTATCGTGAGCTCTGCGCGCAACTCAAGCGCAAGGGCCTCCATCTGCGCTTTCTGCTCAAACTCAAAGCCGACAAGGAGACGAACGTCGAGCACATTGAGCGCATTCAGCAAGAACTCGAGTACAACCCGAGCGTCGACGCGATCGAGTGGCGGCTCAAGTACGACGAGATCGAACGGCTCTACATGGACCTCCAGGAAGACGTCGCGGCGCACACGCCGTCGCAAAACGCCGACGAAGTCATGCGGCTGCAGCACATGCATTTTGAAGTCGCCAAGCAGCTCTCGCTTGTCATCAAGGACAAGCACGCACTCCAAGTGCGCATCGGCGGCAGCGTTCTCGATGAGCGAATGGACGCCGAGCCAAGTCTCGAGTGGGAGGCCAAGGTGGCGCAAGCGCAGGCGCTGCAGAGCCTCGCCGAAGACGAACGCGCCAAGACCATGCTCGAGACGCTCATGCTCCGGGAAAAAGTCCGCAGCCACGAGACGAAGCTCGCGCTCCAGCAGGATTTGCTCTCGGACTTTGAGCACCAGATTCGCGTACTCCAAGAGGTCCACATGGCCGAACGTACGAGTCGGGAGGCGGCGTCGTCGGCGCAACAACGCGCGCACGACGACGCCCTCCATGCGCTCCAGACGCAACATTTGGCGTGCGAGTATGCGATGACGACGATGCGCCAGCAACTGAGCGGCGCCGAGGCGCAAGCGGCGCAGTGGGCCGAGCGGGAAGCGCACTGGGCTACCCAGGTCGCGACCGCCGAAGGCAATATCCGCGACCTCACGGCGCAGGTCCGCACGTTCTCGGAAGAGTCGCACGACATGCACGAGAAGGTCCAAGCCGCCGCCGCGCGCGAGACGACGCTGCAGGCAACCGTCGCGGCGCTCCAAGTGTCGTTGCAAGCGCACGCAGCCGCCAGCGACCACGCAACGGCCTCGTTGGAAGCCCAAGTGCACGAACTCACGGCGCGCATTGACGAGCTCATGCGCATCAAGACGGACCTGGAGGCGACCGCGCATGCGAGTATCGAGGCGCTGGAAGCCAAAGAAGACGCGTACCAAGCGACGCTCGGCGCGGTCGAGCAGCTCACGTTTGACTTGGCCGAGACCAAGGCCGCCCACGACGCCCACGCGGCGGAGAGTGCGGATGCCCTGGCCGCCGAGCTTACTCATCGCGAGACCGAGGTCGCTGCCATGACGGCAGCAATCAACGAGCTCCACACCAAGCTCGCTTCGGCCAACGAAGGGCTTGCGGACCTCGTCGCGCAGGTGGCCGCGCTGGAAGCTGCCAAAGCTGACGTCGAGGCAGCGCTGAAAGAGTGGCAACTGCAAGCGGCGGATGCCGAGACCACTGTCGCCTCGCTACGTGATGAGCTTGAGGCCAAGGACGACGCGCTGCAGGCGACCATTGGCGACGTCGAGCGGCTAACGCACGAGCTCGCGCAAGCGGCCGTCGCCCACGGCACGGTCGAAGCAAACCTCGTCGCAGAGCAAACCGACAAGGCAGCGCAAGTGACGGCGCTCCAGGCGATGCTCGACGCCAAGGTCCGCGAACGCGATGCACTGCAAGAGGACAAGGTCGCGCTGGAGGCGGCAATGGCCGAGCTCTCGGCTGCCCGCGCTGCCGACGCGGCCGCGTTTGAAGCCAAGCTCACCGAGACCCGCGAGGCCAGTGACGTGCAAGAAGACAAGCTCCAAGCGGCGCTCGGTGACATTGAGCGCCTCCAGTACGAAGCATCCGAAGCTTCCAAGCTCTACGCGGCGCTTCAGGCATCGTACGACGCGATGACTGCGGAGAAGACGGCCCTCGAGGCGTCGGTGGCGGCGCTGCAGATGCACGTGCGCGACCTAGAGACGTCCAAGGCGTCGCTGGAGACGGCGTTGGCCTCGTCGACGACGGCGGCAGCTGCGGATCGCGCGTCGTTCGAATCGCAGCTCGAGACGGCGTCTGCCGAGCAGGCGGCGCTGGCGCAAGAGCACCGGGAGGCCATTGCGGCGGTCGAAGCCTTGCTCGAAAGCGCCCGCAGTGACCTCGATGCCAAGGAAGATGCGCTGCAAGAGGTCCTTGGCAACGTCGAACGGCTCGAGTTTGAGCTCGAAACGATGAGCGAAGCGCGGACGGCGGTCGAGAAGGACCTCGCGACGACGCAGATGACGCTCGAAGCGACGGTCGCTGCCATGGCGGCCAAGGAAGCCGACCTCGCGGCCGTGCGGTCGGCGCTCGAAGACGCGCAAGGCGAAACGATTGTCGTCAACAACCTCTTGCAGCAGTCGCACGATGAAAAGAGCGCGCTCAAGACGCAGTCGAGTGCGCGGGAGGAAGCGCTGGTCGCCGACGTTGCCGCGCTAACGGCCAAGGTGGCCGACGCGAATACGTACAACGATGTGCTGCGGTCGACGCTGCAGCTCGACAAGGACGAGTTCACAGCCCAGATCAAGACACTCGAAGAGTCGTTGGCGGCCGCAACGGCCAAGGTGCCGCCGCTGGTGGCCGAGGTCGCCGCACTCAAAAAGGAGGCCGAGGCGAGCTCGGCGAGCGGTCTCGCAGCGCTCAAGGACAAGCTGCGCGAGGACACGGCCAAGCTCGCGGCCGACCGGAAGCACTGGAAGTACAAGAACGAATCGCTCATGCTCAAGGCGATCGAGAACGAATATGCGATGAACCAAGCGAAACGTGAGAACGAGCGACTGCTTGAGGACATGGCCGAGCTGCACGCCCGGCTCGACGCTCTCAACGATGAGAAGGACAAGCTTGTGGGCCACCACAATGCGAAGCAGAAGATCCAGCACCACGCCAAGATGAAGGAAGACGTCAACCGTCTCCAGGCCGAGCTCCGCGCGGCGACTGATGAGAACTTCAAGCTCAAGAAGCGCATCGAGAAGCTTGAGGTGCTTGTCGCACCGGATACGGACATGGCCGCCGCGCTCGGGAGTCCGCTCAAGCGGCAAAAGTCCCTCAACATGATGCCCGCCGAGTCGCCCATGCGTGGCAAGCGGCCGCGTCCCTAGTCGCGTCGTCTTTGAATCTTTGCCTCTAATATCTATATCTCGTTCCTGGCTTGCGTGGTAGAGCATTACGCACTAGCATGTCGTCAGGTGGTAGAGCTCGTCGTCTTGATCCGCGTACCCCGCATGTCGCAGGAGACAACCCTAGCCCTCGAGCAGGACGGTGCCAAGCAGGGGTGCCCAGCAGGGGTGCCAAGGACGCCACCTCGTCTCGACTGAAGTTCGCAGCAACCCGGCGGCCCCTCGCAGCATCGACAGCACCGACGTGGACATGGAGAGACAAATCCTATTCGTCGGCGATCCGGACCGCCTCGGGTAAGAGCTCCTGTAGCCTATGCTCAACGGCGCTGGCATCGATGCGGCGCGTCGGGTCGGACGCCGTGCAGGCTGCAATCAAGGCCGGCACATCGAGCTCGAGACGGTGCATGAGGCGGCCGAGCTGGTAGACATCGGAGGCTGGTGTCGCTTGCGCGCCATATTGCACCTCGGGTGCGACATCGTCATGCACACTCTGCAGCACGGGCGACGCGCCGACGCGGTGGCCAAAGGCAAAGCCCGAGAGCTTGACGTCCCAGTTGGCCGCGAGCAAAATGTAAGGTGGCGTCAAAGCGTTGTGAACGATGGGCGGGTCGTGCTGGTGGAGGTAGGCGACCGCCGTCGCCACGTCCTTGACGATCCGCAGTTTGACGAGCGAGTCAAGCGGTGCCGAGCGAGCGAGGACTCTCTCGAGCGACCCGAGCTGCGTGTACTCGAGGACGATGGCCATCTCGACGAGCCGCGGCGACGCCACAAACCCGACCAGATGCACAATGTGCTCGTGCTCGAGAGCCGAGAGCAGGACGACCTCGCGCACGGTCGCGGTGACGGCCGCCGTGTCGGCCGCGACCTTGATGCACACTTTGGTCTGCACGTGCGCACCAAGGTAGAGCACTTGGCCGTCGATCGTGGCTTGGAGGCGAAGCTTCTTGATGTGAGCGTGCTCGAGCTTGAAGCGTGCGACGTCGGGTGACCGGAGAGGGCACGTGACACTGGCGTCGCCGGCGAGCGGCGGACAGTACTCGGTCGGGAGGTCTTCCATCATCGAGTACGCCGAGCTGGCGCATGTGACGATGCTGTCGCGCATGTTTGGGCGGTTGAAGAGTCGCTTGAGGAGGTACATGTAGAGCACGGCGAGGAAGGCAAAGCCGCCAAAAATGAGAATGATTTTGCTGTAGAGCGCTACAGCGTTGCGCATGAAAATCGAGTCAGGGCGAGAATCGAAGCCACGTACAGCCGGGCGGGACACCGCTCGATCCGTTGTCCGTCGAGAGCGAGTCGGTGACGCACACGACCGCTTGATTCTGGAGGAGCTTGGCGATCCCAAAGCACACATTCGTCGGCTTTGGAGTTGCATCGAGCACAAGGTGCGGCAGCGCGCTCAGCTGCGTGTACGTCTCCAGCGTGACATCAAAGGTAGAGATGGGGTTGCCCGAGAGGTCCCTAGAGGCCGTAGACGTCAGGAGACTGCGTCATGCGAGGCGAGCGACATACAAAGAGACGAGGGAGGCGGGAAACGTTGGGTTATTGATCGATGTGATGAGGTTGTTGCGGAGCGATCTAGTCAGGAAGTTAGTGCAGCATAACAAGCCCGATGGCGACAGAGTGGTGAGGTTGCCAAAGCTCGTGACAAAGGCGAGCGAGCTCACGAGGTTGGCACTGAGGTCCCTACCACCCAACAATGACGATCTTGGTGCGAGGCCAATGACATTGTACAAGGTGCGCAGCCCCGCCAGGTACCGCAGTGTCGCAAGAGACCCGAGCTTGTTGTTGCTCACGTTCCTAGCCCAAAACAGCATGAGCGACGTCGTGGCGGCGCAGCATACAAGGTGGTCAACGCGGGGGTGCGTAGCGCACTCAGATCTGCGATTTGGTTGACCGACAGATCGCTACGCATATCGATCGATATCCGAGTACTGAGATGTAGAAGGTGGACGCTTACACGTCCGTGGCGCTCGGTGGCAGTGACACGACATCCGAGATGAGCAAACCGCTAGCGAGAAGCGTGTTGTAATTGACCGTCAAGAGCATGGTGCCGGTCTCGTTGCCCGAGATGACGCACGGCTGCGACGACGGCGTGTTCCGAGGGCAGCTTGCGTAGAGCGATGCGCCTGCAGAGACCATGCCAATGGCATACTGCGCGAGGGCAAGCACCAGCGATGCTCGCATGGAGAGGACGCAGGAAGACGGCGAATGCGGTGGCCTTGTTCGTGACGCCTGTCTGATCTTAAGATTGCACTTTCTAACGGAACCCCTCAGATTCGATGCGCGGATCCCTTTCATGGGTGGCACTGGAAACACCCAACAGCCGCTGCCCATCCATCGATCGACCAAGGCTTGCACCCCGTAGCAGTCGTAGTAGCATGAGGAGAAGGGCAATATCAATATACGCTCATTTGCCGGTAGTAGCATGAGGAGCACGAGGTTGGCTGCCAGTAGCTAGGAAAGACTGCGTAACACCTGCACCATTCGTGCAAGCGTTTGTGATGGATTCTGTGCAAGGTTGCTGAGGCGTGCTTTAGGTAGCCGCCGTGCGCTGCCACCTTGGCCGCTCAATGCTCCTTGGCGATTGAGGGCGCCAACTGGGACCTCTTTGACGACGAGCCCATACGAGTCTGCTATGTCCGTACGACAAGAACCAGAGTCGGTTCTAACTCACAACGGCTCTGGACCTCTATGAAAGGTGATTCGGGCGCTGGACACCAAATGTGTTGCTCACAACCTGATGCTTTGCTGCGCACTGTCGTCGAAGCCATGAAGCAGCAGAGCGCCCTCGCGCCGAGCATAAAAGCACCAGGTTCAACGACAGGAAGGGTTGGGTGTTTTCAGTAGCCTGGCGTGCCTCGTACTCTTATAATGGATATACTTTCAAATAACATTATGAAAGATTGCCATTCGTATCATTTTCTGTGCATATAATACCTGTCACAAATGATATTGCACTACACCCACACCACGTCGGCACCAAGTTGAAGCTGGAAGCGACCAAAGGGTGCCCTGGGTGACTCGGTCATCTCTATATGCCTCAGCGCATCGTGTCGCAACAGCGACGCCCGATGGAGGCGCCACCAATACACCTCAACCCTCAGTTCTTACTCGGTTCTTATTGGTCTTGACCGTTCAAAACGCATCTTGGCATGGCCACCCGTACGTTGCAAGCACGGGGGGCTCCACGCCGAATCGCTCAACCGCGCGCTCGAGCAAGTACATGCGTACGCCGCAGCGCGATCCAAGGTCAAGCTCGACATAGCCAAGAAGGTTGACCTTGCGAGGGGGGCGTGTTGGAAATCACACAGCGGCAACTGATGTGGACAAACTGAACCACACACTAATCTAGGTACAGATTACCCATGGTCGAGCATACATAACGAACAATATCACTTTCACATTTGCACACATCTCCACCCGTCGCAGCGAGCGATTTTTGCAAAATAATTGTGCAACATTTAATCGACCAGTTGTGTGGCCGTTGTCTGTTTTATTCTATCACATTGGGTTTGCGTCTCCAAAAGTCAAAACCACGACTTGACCTTGGCAAGACGATGCATACTTCGATGCACGAGTAGTCACTTTGGAGACATAAGCGTTACCGAGAGGCGTGACTTTGACGAAAGTATGCACAGTGTTGGAGAAGGCTACAGATCGCGAGCGATGGTGTCGATCATAGTGGCAGTCCCATAGACTGCATCGTAGCGATGCAGAAGCCGCTTCGCTGCGCAACCGTCGCATCGAGCGATTTTTTCAAAATAATTGTGCAACATTTTATGATAATATTTCTGCAGCACTTAATAGATGAGTTGGACGCTGTTCACTCTTGACAACTACTCTATCGCATTGGGTTTGCTAGGCTACGGTCTGGGCGCGCAGCAGCAAAGCAAGGACGTCGCCCATACTCGGTCGGTCCGTCGGCGCGGCATTTACACACGAGGCAACGACACTCGTCACACCTCCCGCCTCGCTGCAATTGGTCGCGAGCTCGTTGAGAAAGTGGCCAAAACGTGCCACGTCCGCGTCTCCATCGCCTCTGGACGCGTGCTGAAGGCCAGTGAGCTTGGCGCGCCAGTCTGTCGTCACAAGCACGTGCTTTGTGACGACAGCGTTGTGTGCAATGTGTCGCGCGTGGAGGTACGTGATAGCATGTGCGACATCCAGCGCGATCTGCAGTCGCATCGGCCACGACGTTGACACCAACAACGCCGGCAGTGGTCCACGGGCGGCATACTCGGTCACGAGTGCAAAGTCGAGCAGGTTTGGCGACGAGGCAAAACCGACGAGCCCTAGTACGTGCGAGTGCGAGACGCTCGCCAACATATGGAGCTCGTGCACCAAGGACGTCAGCGCCAACGTGACGGAGGCTTCGTCACCGTGGACTGTGCGAACGACTTTGAGTCCGACGTCGAGGCTGTCGCGGAGGCGTGCGTTATAGAGAAGGGCATGCGTCGACATGGTGACGAGCTTGCACTTTGCGAGCTCGTGGTATGGCACTTGCGTCGCCGGCAGTGACGCGAGCTCGAAATGCGGTGTTGGGAGGTTGAGTGAAAGCGAGATGCGGTACTCGGGCGGCGGCTCCTCGAAACCAGAGTAGTTGGAGCTCACACACGTGGCGCGGAGTGCGCGCTGGTCGCGCTGCTCGTCATGGAGGATGCGCCAGCGGCTGAGCACGGTCTTGTAGAGCACCATCGATAGCGTCAAGATACCAAAGATGAAGCTCAGCTTGCCCGTGGTTGCTAAAGACAATTAGTTTCGAACATGAGATACAACGTCGTAGTACTTTCGAGCACAGGCGTCGACGACACATCGCCCACACTCACGACGCAGACGGCGCCGAGCGTCTTGAGCGGTGCCAGCATCCCCATACACGTTTGGATGTGAATGGCGTCCATATACAGCGTCGGGAGGCGGTGGAGAAGCTGGTATGTGGATGGCGAGACATCAAAGGTAGTGATGGCATTGCCCGAGAGATCTCTACGCATTCCTTGTCGCAGGTGCTATCGAGAGATCCACGTACAAGGACGCGAGCTTGGGCGGAAAAGACGGATTGTCCGTCAGACGGCGAAGGTCGTTCTGCCGCAAGGTCCTACGAGAGCGGTACATGTCGTCACGACATTCGATGAACACGCCACGTACAGAGAGATAAGACTCGTGAAATTGTCTACATTGGAGTCGTCGTTGAGGACTTGGATGGCATTGGCACTCACGTCCCTATTCGTTCATCGACGCATGAGCTACGAGACATGAATGCAAGCACACGCACAGTGTCTGCAGCGCTGGCAGCGTCGTGAGCATGGCAAATGTCGATAGTCGGTTGGTGCTGAGGTTGCTACATCATTATTGTCATTCTCTTACATCCCATTACTAGTGTTCCGTACAGCGAAAGCACCGATGTCGTCAAGTTGCTTGCAATGTCGGCGATCGCGTTGCGCGAGAGGTCGCTACATGGAGGTATCAGCAACGACACGAGCAAGCCGTTTACATGGAGGTCGCGGCAGCTGGAAAGCTGTGGACGAATTCAATGTCCGCGTCCCGTGCAACGAGCGCGCCGGTGCGGGTCAACGACAACCAGCGCGTCGTGTTCGAGGCAGCATACCGAACACATGGAAGCGCAGCGCTGCTGGTCAATGCGATCGCAGTAGCGTCCGGGCAGACGCCGTAGAGGGTGTTGGGCGCGGCGACGACGTGGGCCAGCATGGTCGAGTGGCATCTGAGTTGGAGTGCAGGCGCCGTGGGATGTCAAAACGAATCCACCAATGGCATCGCAGGAATCGTGGTCATCCGGATAGACGCGTCGTGGATTGGCTGCACGTCAGTCCGATGGATCGCGCCGCATCCTGCCGCCCGCCGACATGACAACGTCGGGAGCGGCGAGGAGCCGAAGCACCAAGCTGCTTAGCCTGCATCCGTACAACAAGCATCGACAGACATGTAGATAGAGATTGTGTTACGGTGCAGTCTCCGCTTCAACTTCAACGGCAATGTCACTTGCAATCTCGGTCGCGTGACCGGTGGTCGAGAGCCAGGCGACGACGGCGTCGGCGGTCGGCCGCGCCAACGGATTGGGTCGGAGGCATGCCGCTGTGATGCTTTGCATATAGTCGGGCATTCCGTCCGAGGGCTCGCCTGCATTCGACAAGTCGAGCGCTTGGAAGAATCGCCCGAGAAGGTACACATCGGTTGCCTTTGACTGAGCGGCGTCGTCAGCACCGACAACGTTCGCGCTTTGGTCGAGACCGCCCAGCTTGATGTGCCACGTGCTCGATACAAACACCGTGTCCGTCGAGATGGCGTTGTGGACGATGCTCTTCTCATGGAGGTAGGCGACCGCGGCCGCGACGCTGCGCGCCATCGTCGTCTTGGGCACCATGAGCGCATTGCTGCTCGTCCAGTGCAAGTACTTGTTCAAGCTCGGGTCCTTGAAGACCGTCGACAGCGATCCATACGTCATCGGCTCCGTGAAGAGCGCCAGGTCCAGTAGCGACGGTGACGCGGCAAAGCCCACAAACCCCACAAGGTTATCATGTGAGAGCGTTGCGAGCGTTCGGATCGCGTGCACGAGCCCGCGCAAGTGTTTTTGCATGACCGGAGATGACGCGCACGGCGTCAGCACGGTGCAGTCGACGCGGTCGTTGCCAATGCGCGCAGCGTACGTGGTCGTCGTAAGCGTCGGCGCCGTCAGCAGCTTGAGCTTCTTGAGGTCTTTGATAGGATACCGATGTGCCTTGAGCGCAGTCAGCTGGTGCGAAAACGACGTCACGTCAACTTGAACGGAGAGCGAGATGCGGTACTCGACCGGGTGGTTCTCCTCGACCCGCGAGTAGTTGGATGAGAGGCGCGTGTCGCGGAAGGCGAGCTCGGGCTGCTGACAGCGCCGACGACACAAGTACCTCCGCTTGAGGAGCAGCACGGCGATGGCAACAATCGCGAGCGCGCTGAGGACGACTATGAGAATGCCGTACGATGCTAGCGGACGCATCAGGACTCAACTCGCATGCAGAAGACAAATGAGCGTACTAGAGAGAAAGGCCGTGCCGGGCGAGGATGCGTCGAGCACGCAGACGCGCGTCGTGTCGTGGAGGAGACGCCATGTCGCAAAGCACGACGCTGTAGTTGAAATATTGCGCAGACTCTCACGCGGGAGCATGGCCAGCGCTGCATAGACCGCTTCCGAGACCTCGAACGTGCTGATCGGGTTGTCCGAGAGGTCTCTACAAGCAGTCGGGCATGAGGCCAGTGTCACTCCATCCTTGGTAGTCCTGTGTACAAGAAGGCGAGCTGGGGCGGCAGCGAGACGAGCCGCAGTGTCGTAATGGCGTTGTTCGCGAGGTTCCTACGCCATCGTGTAGATTCTGAGCGACTATAATATCCCTGCAGGCAGTGACGAACAAGGACGTGAGCGCGCTCAGTTGCCCGAGCTGCGTATCGGACGGAAACGCGGTGATGCCGTTGTGACTGACATCCCTAGTCCATGGTTCTATAAATGCAACGTCGACCACAGTGGTTGTACAAGGTTGTCAGCGTCGAGAGCGATGTGAGCGCGTCCAGCGACACAAGTCGATTATGGCTCACGTTGCTAGCGCGCATAAAGTCATGACAAGAAGAAAAGATGGCGGTGTACAGCGACTGGAGCATCGAGCTGTTTTGGCGACGGTAGATGACGGAGATGGCATTGTCCGAGAGATCCCTACGTGCTTGCATGATGCGACTGCATAGTAGCCTTGTTTACGTACAAGCGAGCGGCGGACGGCGGCAGCGCTTGGACGGTCTCAAGGCCAAGGCGGCGAAAGCTCGTGCTGTTGTCGGCCAAGAGGGTCATCGAGTTGTTGGGGTAAACGACGCAGGGCGTCGTGCCGCAGAGCTGGAGCGACGTCGCCGCGACGGCCACGTGGCTGCTCAGGAGGAGAAGCAGAGCGCGCTGCATGCTCCCGAATTCACAGTCGGCCATCTCTCTCGCGCATCAGTGTCCCACCCAGTCGGTCCCGCCAACAACCAATCCCAAGCCGCGGGCAGTTGATGTGGCGTTGAACCTGATATGCTGGATACTAGTAGATACCTCGAGCATACAAATCGTTCGAGTCGCTATTTCAACAAGAGGCGTCGGACCGAGTGGGCGCAGTGGAAGGTCCGCTCCCCTCGGCGCATAGTCCGTCGATCGTCAGGCGCCAGACACGAGTTTTAACTATTGCTTTTTATAGAATAAAATCATTTTTAAACTTTTCACGCGCGTGTCGTGGCTGTCCTCCTGACTCCAGATGTCGGGAGTCCCGTCTCGTGCGTGCCAAAGAAATGCATCCTCTTCTGTCCACAACAGCTGCGCTTGGGACGCTCAAGACCACCGTGCCG